TTTTTTTTTGGTAAGAGAGAGAGAATTGCGTTAAAAACAACACATAATACACTAAGTCTTGGGAAAACAATGTCAGCTTCATAATACAAAAGAAGTCCCGAGGACAACAGTCAAAAGAAACAAAATCCACAAGAAGTGAATGAGCCACTGCAGTCAGAGCATCAGTGCACTAATTAGCTTCTCTGTACACATGTTGGATACGAGTCTGGGGGATTCTAGACAAGATCTCCCTGCAATCCAAAATAAGGGAGTAAAAAGGATGATGAGATGAAAAGCAACAGGATAATAACTAAGTTGCAACAAGAGAGTCAACTTCAACAATTAAGTTCTGGATATTTCTCTGATAAGCCAAAAGAAGTCCCTCTCTAATCCCCCAGAGTTCAGCACGCAAGCAAGAGGCATAACCAATCTTGCAGGCGAATCCAACAATCCATCTACCCAAATGATCTCTAATGACTCCACCAGCAGAGGTAGGACCTGGGTTTCCATGAGCTGACCCGTCGGTGTTTAGTTTACAGTATCCCTCTGGAGGCTTCTCCCAACAAACTAGTCTAGATTCCTTTTGAGTATTCTTAGGAGAAGGCAAGGGTGAAGCTGAGTAAAATTAAAAAACCTTACTCCGAATAATAGAGATAATATAATTCGGTTCAAAGACATTAGAGGAATAAAGTTTATTGTTCCTTTGCAGCCAAATACTCCAAAGAATAAAGCTAAAGACCGTTCCCCAGGGGATTGGGATAGTACGACACATATTCTTGCTCAAATAGTTATCTTTGATCCACTGGAATAAGGAATTGCTAGAGCCAACCGTTCCTTGAGGAAAAAAAGTATGCCAGATAAAAGAAGAGGAAGGACATTCTCTACAGAGATGATCACAAGTTTCCTTTGCCTCAAGACACATGGGACACACATTAGAATCCACAATGCCCAATCTAGAGAGAAGATCAAGAGTTTTTAGGCGTTCATAACATAACAGCCAAATGAAACATTGAATTTTAGGTAGAGTATGAATCTTCCAAGTCCATTTCCAATCCATAATAGGGTTAGGATTCACGCCTTTCGCCATAAGATAAGCAACTTTCATGGAAAAAGACCCATCGCGAGACCCTTTCCATGAGTACAAATCATTGCCAAGCCCTATTTTTGAAATGGGATTGGCTTTAATAGTTTCTAGAATAGTGTCAGGTAGAGGGTAGGATATAAGGGAAGAGTTAAAGTCAACACAGGAGAATACATCTGCCACCCGTAGGTCCTCATCACTCCTCGATAAAGGTCCAACCAGAATAGAGTTGAGAGGAGCATCAAAGAGCCAACAGTCTTTCCAAAGGGATACACTATTACCATCCATCATAATCCATTTGATACCCTATAGGAAGAGTTCATTACCTTTCTTGAGGTTCCTCATGACAGGGGAGCTGCAAGTAAGCAAGATAGATGAATGAGAGTTAATATTATATTTTCTAGTAAGAACAGAATTCTAGAGCTTATCCTTCTCAGAGAAAAATCTCCAATTGAGCTTTGCCATGGCAGCTAGATTTGTTTCCTTAGCACTTTTAATTCCTAAGCCCCCTAAAGATTTTGGGACGGATACCTTATCCCAACTAATCAAATGCAGTTTGCGATGATCCGGATTGGACCCCCAAAGAAAGTCCCTCGATATCTTATCCAACTCCGAAAGAATAGAAGAAGAAAGCATGGTAGACTGCATATAAAAGAGAAGAATGGAAGCCATAACAAAATTAATGAGAGTAATTCCACCAGCTAAAGAGAAAAACCTAACCTTCCATCCTTCAAGCTTAGCACGAACTTTATCCAAAATAAAAACATAATCTTGCTTGCAAGGCCTTTTGGATGATATCGGGATGCCTAGATACTTTCCAAGGGATTCTTTTTGCAAAAACCCATAACACTACAAATTTCTTCCCGCACAGTTATAGGGTATTTTTAGAGAAGAAAACATAAGACTTAAGAGGGTTGATCTTAAGTCCAGATCTATTTGAAAAAAACTCCAGAATAGATTTAAGGAAGAGACAGTTATTCTTGGTAGCTTTCCCAATAAACAAGAGGTCATCAGCAAAGAAGAGGTGGGAAAGCAAGGGGCCTCCCCTTCCAGCTTTACACCCTTTCCAGTAGCCAAGGGAGGAAGCCTTAGTAATGGTTAGCGCAAGGAATTCCATACACAGAATAAAAATATATGGCGAGAGTGGATCCCCTTGACGAATGCCTCTAGAAGGAGAAAAGGGTTCAGTTCTGTCACCATTAAGAAGCACAGAAACAGAAGATGTACAAATGGCAGACATGATTAAATCAATAATTTTGGGAGGAAATTGAAAAAATAGTAGAGTTTCCCAGATAAAGCTCCACTCAAGGCAATCATAGGCTTTCTCTAAGTCAATTTTAAAGATGAGATCACCCACTTTGCCGGTTTTCTTAGAGAAAGAGTAAACAAGCTCCTGAAGAATAATGACATTATCAGAGCCACGACATCCAAGAATGAAGCTAGCCTGGCAAGGAGATATCAAGGAATCAAGAATAGGTCTAAGCCTATTCACCAGGATCTTTGAGATAACTTTAGAGGAGGTATTACACAACCCAATAGGTCGGAATTGAGTAATAGAACTAGGGGCCTTTCCTTTAGGGATAAGAGAGATAAGACAATTATTCCATCCCATCGGGATAGCACCAGAGGAGAAGGTGCCAATGATATCTGAACATAACTTAGATCTAATATCTTGCCAGAACCTTTGATAGAAAAAGGGATGAACCCCATCAGGCCCAGGGGCCTTAAAAGGTTTAAAGGAGGAAATAGCCAATCAAATCTCAACCTCAGTTGGTAGATCAGCAAGGTGATGCAAATCAATTAGATGATGATCAAGAGTGAGATTAGCCAACTGGTAAGAATTGGAGAAAGAATGCATGAGCAAAGACGAAAACAAGTCAAGAAAGTAGCTTCTACAAATGTTGCTAATCTCACTTGGCTCATAAGTCCAAACACCTATAGCGTCTTTCAGACCTAAGATCTTGTTATGAGATCTATGTTTCAAGGTGGTAACATGGAAAAATCTAGAGTTTCTATCACCATCAAGGATCCATTAGTTCTAGACTTCATAAACCAAAGATCTTCTTCCAATTTAAGAATTTCAGAGTATTCATTTGCAAGATCCTTCTCCAAGGAAGTAAGGAAAGAACTATGCTTCGTAGATAAAAACCTATGAATGCCTTCCAAACAAGCAAGAATCTGCTTCTTCCTCTTAAAAAGTTTGCCAAATGTGGTACGACTCCATAATTTGGCTTTCTTCATCATAGTCTCAAGGCATTGACTAGTATTATTATCCTCAATTCCCCAACAATCCTGAACCAAATTTTGAAATTCCGGATGATCCATCCAGAATTTTTCAAGTCGGAAAGGACGTTTGCCAAAAGAAGGCTTGAAGGGTTCAAGATCAAGAAGTAATGGATTATGATCAGAATGGACTCAAGGAAGATGAAAGACAGAAGCTTCCGGAAAGTAGAGTTTCCTATCTGCATTACCCCAGACCCTATCAAGGCGTTCACGTATAATATGGCCATCCGATTGCATGTTAACCCAAGTAAACCTCCCTCCAGTGAACCCTAAATCCAGCATTTGACAATCATTCATGCAGGAGGTAAAGGCTTGAACTCGATGTTGGTTAATGGGAGCCCCTCCAAACTTCTCTGATTGATCCACCACATCATTAAAATCCCCCGCAATAACCCAAGGACCTTTAAAGTAGGGAGACAAAGTCCTAAGCTCTTGCCAGAGCTTAGACCGAAGTTCAAATTGTGGCCTACCATAAACACCAGAGAAAATCCAATTAATGGAAGCAAAAGAAGATTGACTACATACCTTAACAATGGCATGGATTACTTGATCACCGTCTGCCATGATATCAATTGAGATTCGAGAAGCATCCTAAAGCAGCCAAAGACCACCAGCAAAGCCATCTGCATCTACCACATGATAATTAGGGTATATATGAGAAGCAATAGCTTTAGCTCTATCTCCTGCAACCTTAGTTTCCATAATTAACAACATGCAAGGATTGTGAGTAGCCTTCAAATCCATGACATGACGCTTAAAACTTTCGCTAGCTGCCCCTCAACAATTCCAGATCAAGATCTTCATGGTCCAAATTGATAAATCAAGAAGACCCAAAGTCTCTACGGCAAGCTTATTGGCCAGAGTTGGGGGCCATATCCCCACCGGTGACGTGACCATCTGTGCATCTGGAAAATGGAATGGAATCAAGGACAACTTGTACTCCATTTCCCAAGTCTCCAGAGGTAATTTATTTACATGTTTTAACCAAGTTGGAGAGGGAGTAATATTTTTCAGAAATTGAATAGAAGTCTAGTTCATAACAAAACTCGGGTTTTTTCTTGTGTATATTTGAGAAAAAGAGACTAGTTTGCGTATCTAAATATCTTCAGAAAACTCATGATGAGGGTACACATTATGAAATAAGAATGATAAATTTTATTAATTGATGAAATATGTGTCT